CTGTGTGTACACACACACACACACACACACACACACACAGTATACCTATATGTAATATAGTATGTGTATATATAATATGTACAATATATAATACAGTGAGAGATGCGCGCGCGCACACACACACACACACACACACACCCCCCACTGTCTTCCCTGACAGGTAAGTGTATATATAGTGGAAACTGCATAACGTGAGTCCAAAGCCAAAAGGCTCATGATTTACCATACAGGTCATTGGCTTGGGCCCCAGCAGAGCTGACAGCATTTCAAGCTACAGTAACCCCATAGCTTAGTACTGCTCAGTATGTGTGCACCCCAGATACCACCCCCAAAAGGAGCCATGTGTTAGTTACCCCCCGCCACTTATGACTGGAACCAGATGTTCTTTGTTGCGAGTCCAAAAATGTATATGCAGATGATGCATGGCAACCTGGTCTGGCTCCACTTCATGGAGGACAGGGTCACACATCATATACAACAGGCTGAGAGGGGGCAAGAAAGGGATTCTGGGTGAAATGCTTGGAGCCCTGCTTGGCGAGTCTGCCAGACATTTAAGGCTGGGGAAGAAACAAGAATAATTGGAAATGGGAAAGAAAGGCATAGCTCAGCTGCAGGAGTGAAGAAGTCAAACTATTCAAAGCAGTGGCTCAACCCCATGACTTGAAAAAGAGTCAGTGCTAAGGGGGGTTAGTGCTATGGGCACTACAATATATCTTATTCAGGTAGGTTCTCAGAAGTATGTTTGCCCAATAGGGGCCATGTGTTTTATAGTCTTGTTCAGTATTGGCTGCATTTAATCAACTTCATAGTTGGTTTCCATTATTCAGCACATGCTGCTTTTGACAGCAGTTTAATGATAGATAATTTATTTAATGAGGTTTCCTTGTCTGTGGATACAAGACAAGGAGCTTCCCCCCATGCTGACTGGGGAATAAAACCTCTTTTAATATTTGAGTAACTACAGTACTATATGAAAGTCAGCTCCAGCATCTATATGTATAAAGGATTATACAGCAGCCATGACTTGTCTCGCATCTTCTACACAGTAGTAAGCAAGGGACAGAACACCACTCAGTTGCTTAAACAGTGCGATCAGATCAATTAAAGGACTCAAGGTCCATAAGAACATGGACTGAAAGGAATGAGCTGAGCATCAATGCAAAGCCAGACAAAAACCAGAGATGTCTACGTCTTAATAGCACACAACTTGTCTAAAGCATCGTACTCCTATATAATCCTTGGACAAAACCCTGGCCTTGCTAGAAGCAACAATAATGTTGTTTTCAGAGTCAGACTGTCACTCCTCTTTCTTCTTACTTGTCTTCTTCACATGCTAGCTAGAAACCTTGCCATAAAACTAAGCCAACCAGACTTGAATGCACTCGGTGCCTTGCCGGCTCAAGGCCATATAAAGTCTTGCTGGTGTCAATGTACTGCCTGAGTGGGTTAGTGAAGTGACACTTGGCTATCTATAATTTAGGGACTGTTCTGTGCAGACTACTAGGGAAGATACTACCAACAGCCAAAATAATCCTATTACTGCAGTTACAATCAGTGTTGTGCAAGCTGTAAAGGCCTGAGGGAGAAACAAATATCCTCCCCAACTCGCATGAAATCAATCTGGTATCTTCACCCCCTTGCAAGATGGACAGTGGCATGTGAGCTAGTACTACTGTGGACACAGCACATGCGGTTTACTGAGCAGTGGATATCCCGCCACCCTAAGTGCTTCATAATTAGCCAGCCCAACCACATCCGCATCTGCTCCAAGAAGACCCAAGGAGAAGCACTCAAATACCAATGAGAAAGTCCCAGTTGGGGCCCCATCCTGCTGGCTGTACCACAAACAAGAGTTCTGCCATTGGCTATGACGAAAACGGGACCTGGTGACATCTGGGAGTGACCCAGTAATGGTCTGGTGATCCAGTTCATATGGATGAAGCCCCGTAAGTCCCACTGAAGTCAGGAGATGGAAGACCCATGCAGGAGACGGAAGACTGTCCTCACAACAGGACACAGCCAAGAGCCTCCACTGCTTGTTACCCAAGGACAGCGAGATGCCAGCTACATCTCTCCCAGGCTCCTGAGGGAAGGGAAACCTAATAAATAAAACTCTGAAGCCCTGTCCATAGTCAGCACTGAAGACATGTCTTCCAGTCTCCCAGATTCCCAATTGTCTTGAATTGCTGCCCACATCTGGCTTGCAATTCAAGACAACCCCCAGGCTCCTCTAGTCACCATCCTCTAGCCCACAGTTTCTGAACCTGTGGTATGCATACCCCTGGGGGGTACATGGGTACCCCAACACTTTCTCTCACCCTCTTTTCCTCTCAAAACTATGGCAAAAAAAAAAAAAAAAAAAATCGGGGCGCTGCGCTTTAAATTCCCTGGTAATAATTTGGTTTGCCCTCCTCAGTAATAATTTGGCCCTGGGTTCAGCCCTCCTAGCTTTGGGCAACATCACTTCTAGCCCAGGTACATACTTGAGTTGTGCACCCCGGTATAAGAAGTGGCCACACCAGATCAGACATCCGTCACATCGTGGCCTTATATACACTGCCCTTCTTCCAACACATAGCACACATTAGTGTGTAAATATAAAATCCCCTGGAAAATTGAATGTTGGGGTACTGATTAAAATTTTCAGAAGTTAGGGGGTGCTTGCTACTTAAAAGGTAGACCAAAGGGGCTGCTTGTGGTGTCTCTGCCAGCACAGAGCTGACTGCCCCGGCCTCGGCGTTGGAGATCATACTGCTTCGCACTTGGATAAGTGCCTTACAGACTGTTGTCCTCACAACACCCCTGTGAGGTAGGTAAGTATTAGTATACACATTTTACAGAGTGCAGGGAGGAAACTGAGGCACAGGAAGGTGAAGTCACTCATCCAAGCCCCTGATGCCAGCGATGGGGTCAGGACCGTTAGCACCGAGCCTCACGTACAGTGTAGCACGCCACACTGACAAAACACCCACCCCTTGGGGAGAACATGCTGCTGTAGTACCCCCCCACACTATAGCATTGTTATAGCAAGATGTCGTGTGCTGGACCATGGCTACAGTGCTTACAGAGACTGGGGCACATCTGCCAAGGTACTTAAATGACAGAGACTGGGGCGCATTGTTGGTCTTATATCACATGGGTATTTTGGAAAGCATCATTCATTGGCTTCACCTGGAGAAGACTCTCAATGTAACAGCAAAAGCTAGCAGAAACAGCCTTAGCCTCCTGCACATGGAGGAACATCTCACCTCCGCCAACTGAGAGTCCTACAGCCAGCTGACCGGCAAAACAGTGGTAGCAATCTGGAGCCCTAAAGATGAGAAGGCAGAGTAGGAAACCTTCAAGGATGCTCCAGAAGGATTCAGAGAAAGCTTTACTCCCCTAAATAAAAGCACCCTGCAGATTGGACCATAACAAGGTAAGCTGAAAGAGCTGCCTTTGAAAGAGGCAGCCGGGAACTACTGCCAACTTGTAATACTGCTACATTTGTAAGATCAGCCACCGTCCAACGACCAGGTCATGTTCAGCTCCCATGTGAAGTCCCACAACATATGGCCATACAAAGCCAAACCAGTAACAGAGAGGAAGGTAGTGGTTGCCATATACATGGTGCCCTAGTGATGAAACCCCATAAAACACTGCCCATCAGCACTTCGGAGCCTGCCGCATTGGTTTAAAACAGCCAGACTATCTGCAAAGGGAGCAGCTATTCCAGACAATCGGATGCTAGAGAGCAGGGAAAATTGTTCCAGGACATGGAGAAAGGGAAACCAAACAGTAAAACCTCCAAATGTTCCACACCTCAGGTTAATTTTCCACCACCCCTCCCCGGCCAAGTGCTGCCCCTCTTCAAGAGCTCTTGCCCATCTTATATTCGCCACCAGAGGAGTTAAGGCACCCTATAAAAGAGGTGGTAAACGTGGACATACTTTAACAGTACTGAGATCCATAGGGTGTTTGATAATATCGTGATAGTCATGTAATTCCAAGGCCTCTGCATCGACAGGCTTGTAAAAGGGCCATGCGTAGGCAGCGTGTTTCTTAGACAGCATCTCCTTGAGGATGCTGTCACAGTACTTGAGGTGCTCAGAGAGTTTGCCCTTCTTCCCCGCATGCTGCGGGACCTCCCCATCCTCGAGGTCTTTCTTTGGTGGTTTGATGGGTCGGCCGCCGCTCTCGCGCCGTGCGACCACTTTTGCCTGCTTTGGGTCGGACAACGGCGTGGGCGACTCGCTCCGGCTGGCAGTGATGGCGGACGTGGTGGGTGTGGTTGTGTCTGCTTTTCGCTTCACTCCCTTTTTCTGAAACGTGAGAGAGCAGACAGAAGTTGTGAATGTTTGTCCAGCCGACAACCTGTGTAAACAGGTGCCAACTGGGGGCCTGACACTGGCACAAGTCCCGGGGCCTCAATATCCACGCCCCCACCCTGACATCACAGATGTTAGTGATAAGAGAAGCAAACCCTTGGACATTACTACAATGAAGCAAATGGAGCTGGACACTAACATGTGAGGTCAGGCCCTGTTTTGTAACCTGAAGGCCTGATGGGTCAGGCTTGGGAGCCATTACACCGCTGTATTCAGTAGAACTACACAGGAAAGTTAATGCCCTGTGCAGGACAGCAAGCACTTCACAGTCTGGCCCCAAGCAAAACAGACCACATACAGGCCGTGAAGAGCCACAGTGCAATTCCTCCCGTCCTTTTCTCCCCGGCAGCTCTTATTCTTTTGGAAAAATAATTAGCTTTCCTTGTGAATCTGGCGGGGAGAAAAGTATTTTGCAGCAGTGACTGCTTTGAAGTGTTACTTCAACCACTCTAATTTTGGTTGATTTTGTAACGTGGAAGGGAAATATGCCTACGTACAGGCTGATCCTGAGCAAAAAAGAGTTGCTTGTTCATGGAATATATCAGGATTTAAAAAAGGACTTTGTGGGGGGGAGAAATAGGGGGGAAAGGAGGGAGGGAATACCTGAAGCAGTCTCTTCCTCCTCTATTCCTGAATGGAAGCTGCATTTGGGGAAGGAAGAAAGCTCTGTGCTCCTAACTCCTGAAGATGCAACTTTACCTCAACTTGTGGCATTAAATTTGAGAACTTATGACACAGGTAGCTCTGGCACGATGGTGCCCTCTTCGATTAGAGGGCAACATGCAAAAAGCTTTCACTCTGTAGTATACCATTAATAGCAATGCAGCTTAACTATATTTGGATCTCACCCAGCACAAGTTCATTAGCCTCTGGGTGGTATCAGCTTATAAACAACAAACAACTCCATTGCTGTTTATAATTCTACAAACAATTATACCTAGCTCTCACCTAGCATTTCCAGTGAGTAGGTCTCCAAGCACTTCACAGAGGTGCTCAGAATCCATCTCCCCATTTTACAGATGGGGAAACTGAAATAGAGAGGACAAGTGACCTGCCCATGGTCACCCAGCAGGCCAGCAGCAGAGGCAAGAAAACAAGTCAGGTCTCCCGAGTCTCCCTTCAGCATTGTTTGCTAGGCAACTCTGCCTCTCCAGTCAGCACCAAGAGTCTGCAGTTAAATTTCAAGCAGGAAAGAAATCTTTGGGTTCCCAAGCCATGTTTCCACTGCATTGCTCCTGATCATAATGCTGCCCTCCACTAATCAAGCAAACTGACAAACTGAACTGCACGATACAGGGACACAACCAGAAGCAGAGCACAGTCAGGAAAGGGGAGTGGAATTTGCTCCTCCCAGTGACAGTACTGGTCTGAAATAGGCAGACAATGCCAATACCCTCTACCAGGAGATCCAGCCTGAAGGCATCACTGAGGCACAATTCCTAGTGCCTACACTAGAGGCAAGACTGCAGGGCTGGGCTCTTACTGAACTGCACAGTGACACTGGAAAGGCCTTCACCTATTCTTTAGGCTCGATTCTGCAAACCATAAAAAAGGGACAAGTCTACCAAACTCTGGGAAAGGAGAGATTCCTTGGACAGAAGTGGGATACAGGCCTGTGGCCTCCGAAAGGCTTTAACTTCAGTGATGGCTGGAGAGCTGGCAAGGCAAATACAAATGGAAATGACTTGTTTCTAACCAGCGGTTATGGCACCATGCCGCCTACCGCAACTGCAGATCCCAGAGAGAAGAGGGCCTTGGACTTCTGGATTACCTTGACTACCGGTGGCGTCGGAGGAACCACCGGCATGATCGGCGCGGCGGGAGGAGGGGGAGCGGCGGCGGGAGGGGCAGTGACAGGCGGGACGTTTGCAGTGATGGTTGGCACTGGCGTAGCAGCGATAACCGGCGTCTGCGACACGGCGGGAGGGACGTTCTGGAAAGGGGCCGGCGGGGAGACAGAGGACACGGCTGCTGCCTGCTGTGCTCCTTTGGGACAACAAGATTCAACGTGAGTGATGTAGCAGCCATGCTCAGCAGGAGGGGCTGTTGCCTCCGGATACTATGGGAAGTGACCAGCCAAGCCCGGTCCCAGAACAGCACCGTCTCTAGTACCCCACTGACAGCCTACGCTGAGCAAAGCAGTGAGGGACTGGGGGGAAAAAATCCAACTGGATTCAATCCGGCTTTGCTTTGAACCTGGTCTCCTGTCCTTCCCCCTATACCTTCCCCTGTTATACAGATGCAGGCTTCTACCTGCTACACAGCGCAGCATTTTAGAAGGTGCAAAGGTTCAAAAAGAGGGGGAGAGGGGGAATATTTACAGCAATATTTCCTACCAGGCTAAAGTGATAAACATCTTTTGCATTTTTGCAGCAACTCTCGCCAAAGGGTCCTCACAAGCACATAACCCCACATGTAACAGCATCCCTGCAAAGTTTTAGCTGTGCTTGACACAGGGAAACTGAGGCACAAACAGGATTTGGGGAATTTGCCCAAAGCTGCAATTTGGAGCTGTTTAACATGAGGACTTGCAGCTGTACAAGCTGGGGGTTGGATCCCATGCTCAGCTGAACTAGCACAAACCCTGGTGTGGGCAATCTGATTTCAGTGGAAAGGCAGCTTACCACAAACGAACCTTTGGATTGATCCAAATCATCCTAATTAGAAACAGACCCACTTCCAACTGACCCAAGCGCACTCGCACCATCTGCTGAACTATCTTAACCCAACAGTTTTTAAAGCATCTCTCTCACTACCCTGGTACCAATTTGTGTGTAGACAGGAAAGCAAGCCAGGGACTTAGGGTGCTTGGAAGGACTTAAGAGACCTGGTCCAAGTCCCTGCTTTGCTACAGATTTCCTGTGTGACCATGGGCTAACCACATAGGGTGCAAAGGTATTTAGGTACCTAACCCCCATAGAAATCAATGGGCGTGAAGCACCTAAGCAACTCCGTAGAGCTGGATCCTACTTGCTTCATACCTCAGTTTCCCAGCTGTACAATGGGGAAAACAGCACTGCCCCACTTCACAGGGATGCTGTGAGGATGAACGTAGGACAGCCTGCAAGCTGCTGAGGCAGTTGTGTTACAAGAGCCATGCGAATGTCTTATGCAAACAGACAAGCCCTGAATCGGTAGGTGAGCAGGATCCAGGAGACTTTGGTTTAGCTGCATTGTCCTAAGCGTGAAGACGTGCTCCTTTCCTATCCTCTTCCATGTTTGGCTAGCAAGGTAGGGCAGAAGTTAGGTCGGGGACCACCGACAGCCTTCTCGCACCTAAATGAGCCTGGTCGGCTACTAACCTGCACTTTGTCCGCTTGCTGCTGGCTTGCGACCTTTGCCTTTTGGAACCGGCGGTAACAATTCAACTTCCTCCTGAGGCATCTGGGCCACTTTCTGCAGAAAAATCTTCTCCAGGGCTTGAGCCATGAGGACGATGTCATCAGTGGGCTGCGGGGGCAGAGGACAAAGCGGCGCTAGCATCAGTCACATCCGAGGAGCGCAGAAACGCTGACAACCTTTACAAGTTCATGGTTTCATTCCTCTCTTGGCAGGAGCTGTTTTCCAGGGACTGAAGGCACCAATGTCACGTCATGTCATGGTGCCTTCAGTGCCTGGGAAACAGGACAGGTTCCATAACGCAAAATGACAGTATTCCCAAATATTTGAAAAGCTGCCATAGAGACTTGGGAGAACAACTGTTCTCCCCTGCTGCAGGACTGCAAGACAAGAGGCAGTGGGTTTAAAATACAGCAAAGAAGATTTAGACTGAAGCTCACAAAACACTTCTTAGAATGAATGATAAAAGGTAATGGAACAAGTTACCTAGGAAGTTTTGGCATCTCCTTCCCAAAGCTTTTTTTTCAGATCATGCCAGTAAGCATTTTTCTGGGATGGTTTAGAAACAGCATATCCCACATTTTAGGCAGGAGGTTGGACAGTTTCTTCCAACTACCCAACTCTCTCCTAGCTCTGAAAATTAAAATACTGCTTTCCCCCCTTCTCTCCTTTCTGTTCTGAACTACCTAGCAAGCTACAGCCTTTAAATACAGCCCTCCCAGGAGAATAAGATGACAGCATCTTGTGGAGCCCAAATCAACACCATGCTATATAATCAGCTTGGAGGCAATGAGCTGGAACAGTTGAGCTCCCATTCCCCCTGCCATGATATCAGAAACAGGTCCCCCCTCTGCAGCATAGCCTAATTAAATTTGTTTAGTCCAACTTTCTCCCTAGCTGGACTCAATGATGACAAATTATCTTCAGAAAACTACTATGAGGAATAAAATGCACTTTAAATACATGAGCACATGCGTGTACATACGCGCACAATCAATAAGCTAGTGATAAAGCGCACAAAAACTGGCAGGACAGGGCCAGAATGTGTTATGATAGGATTTACCTTCCTGCCCCTTGCTGCTAAGAGGGTAATGGTTTTAGTTACCATTTACTAGACAAGGAGACGTAACACTTAGCACTTAGGTTCCACATAACACCCACGTAGTGATGGACAAGCGCCAGCTAATCAGAAAGACTTCCTAAATGCAATCTGAAGGGCTGAAAAATCTCAAATTTTGCTCAAGCCCCAAGATAGGAAGAACTCTACCTACATTAGAACAGATTAGCATTTATGCTGATGCCCAGGAAGAATCATATAAAAACAGTGTTGCGACTGCTTAAAGAAATGTGACTGCCATCAGCGGCATTTCAAAGCGTGGCAAGGAGGGCTTTGCACACAAAGTTATCCTGAGTTAACCTGGGAGTTATCCCAAGTTAAATGTTACAGCATAATAGCCTCACACACTATACTGATTGCTTGGCTCCTTTACCTTGTTGTAAATATAACAGTTTGTAAACATTGTGTTGAAATCCTGCATACATTCACTGGCACTCCAGTAATAGTTATGTTCCAGCCGCTTCTTGATCGTCCCCATGTCCATCGGGTTTTTGATTATTTTGTGATAATCCTGCTCAAGAAAAAGAAAGAGGCATTAACACCTGACAATACTGGTTCAGAGGGTTTTGTTCAGCAGCAATGAAGCACCTTTCTCTGCTTCTGAGCATGCATAAAACACACTCCTGCTCAGACTCCTAAGAGAAGCTCTGCTTTCACTTACTCCAAAACTGAGAGCTCTTAACCCATTCTTCACTCATGAAAAGGGACATTATGAATAAACCTCAGAATCTCTTATGCAATGTGAATATATAGTCCTTCCCTGCTGAGCAAAAAGGGATTATCTCAGTTTAAAAAGATACATATACATAATACTGTATTTTGCACACAATAATACTGTATTTTGCACACAAAGATCATGGAAAAATAGGGGGTTTTCCACTGAGCTTTTGGAACCTGGTTTTAATCCTGCTGCCCCCTGCACGGTTATAAATTCACTTTTGGTTTCTAATGCAGAATGGAGGGATACTACATAGCTAAACTAAACCCAGCTGACAGTCCAGGTTCAGTACAGATCAAAGGCATTTTTATATATGGACAAACAGATAGTCATGTTAGCCATCTACATTACAACTACAAAGCCTTGATCATGGATCAGTTGAGCTCCTAGAAGATGCCACGATGCCAGGTAATGGATGACTGCTAATAGACAACCTTCCCAGAAGTGGACATTGGACAGATGGGACACAGCATTGCCTAAACATCGCAGTGAACAGGCTTCCTGAAAACCTCTCACCCGGGGTCCCCACATCAACTGTGCCTCATCTGGACTGGTTTTGTGCACCTGCAAATTCTGCAGTGACTCAGGACTGTCCCCCAGAGAAGGGGGTTGAATAAAAAGGTGCCATTTACCATCAGCGTGAAGGCACCAGGGTGCCTGCATAATCTCTAGTCATCTCTACATCTGATATCAAGGAAGGATTTGAAACGCCAACTGCCTCCCTTTGAGGGGCCACTGAGAAGGGAAGGGGAGACTCAGCTCAAGTTTCCTGGCTAAGACAGGCTGCATTTAAACCAATCTCAAAAAAGCAACAATTTTTCCAACCAACCAATTCCTTAAATTTCTCCCCAACCTGCTCTAAGAGCCACTATAAAAACTCCTCAGTAGGAAACTAAATCCATAAAAAGAAGACACCAAGGAGTGAAGCAGCACTGAAATATGGCACAGATGTGCTAAAGCATTTTATTCTTCTGGCCACTACTTTAAATAGAGCCTATTAACATTATGGACTTCAAAGGATCTTGAGCCAGTCCATAAAACTGGGTAATAACTGGTGGTAACTAGAGGTCTCTGGAGCTTACATCACAGCGTCACGCTGTCTTGGATCATACGTGCAATTACAGAACTCGTCACAAAGCCACTCGAGCTAATTTGGGATGGCCTGCCCAGACCCACGTACACAGACGTATAAGGAAGGGGTCACATCTCCATGAAGGAAGTGCCTAGGCTTTGTACCGAGTTGCTGCCTGCTTGCCCAACATCACTGGGGAGAAATAGGAGGGCACGAATTTGAGCACGGAGGTGAAACAGCTCAGTAGAAGGCCAAGTTATGAACTCGGCTTCCTCTCTCATTACACAGCCTCTGCCGAGGCTGACATGATGGGAGCCTTGCTGCCAATCCAAGGGGCACAGACACTGCCTCTGGGGCCATTTCCTCTGCTTCAATCCAGTCGCCCTTTGACGCTGGGCACTTCCTTCTGCTCTTCCTCAGTACCACAGCAGAGGGAAGATCCCAGAAAGCTAATTGGAAATAGAACTTAAAATTAACTAGGTGTGCTGAAGTGCTCCCAAGCTAGTCAAATTTACAGGTAAGGTGTCTATGATCTGTAACGGGAAACAGGAAAACCCTCGATTATTACGGTAAGAAGAGTTCCCCCCCCAGAATAGCAGGTGCAAAACAGGGGCTTTGGGTGAATACTAGAGCAGAAGTTATTTTCCTGTACAGAAACCCTAGTTTCTTTAGTGGGGAGGGAAAGTGCCAGTCTAAAAAAGCTAGAACCAGTAAAGTATTGGCACACATAAGAGGTCACCAAATGGGATTAAAAAATTCTAACTAAATAAAATTTCTATATACACGTACATGCACCCCCCCTTTGTAACCCTCCTTCTGTTCTGGGCCTGACAGGGCTGGAAAAGAATCAAACCTGAAATCCATGAAATCTCGGGACAATTAGCACATCAGGAAACCCGAACCGCAATCCCTCTGCTGCTGCGAATGCAGGTGGGGCCTACAACTCATGGTCAGACCCATTTTCATTGAAAGATTTTATCTGACAGTGACCCCCGAGCAGAGACCCAAGGCAGGCACACTCACGCTAAATGTGAACAGAGACATTATTTGTTGCCCCCCTGCTGAAATCCATGAGACAGATGTATAAACAGCCAAAAGAAAAAAAAAAAACTGAGCTCCTGACCTTCGACAGCAGAAACTAGGACTTTCGGAGGCTTCTTTAAAAAAGTATAACCAGAAACAACCCTGCAATGCTTGCTGAGCTTGACACAACGCCAAGAGAGCTTCAAATGGAATGGAAACACTAGTGCAATTCTTTAGTGCTCCAACAGCCACTGCTGCCCCAAATATTTCAGGACAATCTCCAGCACATTGTCTTTATACGGTCTCTCTGAGCCCAGTCAGAAGATTAATGTTACAGATAACAGTCTCGTCTATTCAAAAAAAGCCCAGAGATAGTAGAGTCTGAGAAGTGCTTTAAATATATATCTATACATACATACATACATACATCTGTATCATATTATATATCTATATCTATAGATACACACACACACACTCCACCCCCCTGCCACACAAAAATACTCCTCCTAAAATTTGATCAAAACTAACTTCCCTTCCAGCAGTCACGAAGACATCAGGTTGGAGTAAGGCTGTCTGTTGGATATTGAGGGTACATTTTGGTGAAGAATGACCCCCCTTCTGGATACAACTAAGAATGAGGAGTCGGGAACTTAAAATGAAATCTGTTCACGCCACAATCGCAGGGACACAAACTGCGCAAAGTGTTCACAGAGCAGAATACAAAGAGGAATGCTTACTGGTAAGTTCAACTTAATTGCATCCACGGGTTGGTAGAAGGGCCAAGCAAACTGATGCTTCCACAAGGTCTTCACCACTACATTTTGCATGTACTGCAACTGGTTGGTTTTCCGCCCGGGCTTGTTGGGGTTGGTGACTTCTGGGGGCGGTGGATTGACAGGGCCCTGAGGAGCCTGGATCGCTGAGGTGACCGCCGACATGTTCCCACCTCTGGATCTCACTCCCGGTTGCGGAAGCTGCAGCACCAGCTAGGAGATTTTCTTTCTTCCTTTATGTTCCCTGAATGGGATGGACATCCCATTTCCAGGGTCCAACCATGCAACCTAGACCACAAGAGAAAGGGGGAAGAGCAGAGGTGTAAATTAAGCTGATCACTTGACACATGTACATCCAAGAAAACACTGAAGGCCTCTGAACCCAAACTCTTGCACTCATCATCCTGTCTCTGATACCGTGGTACTCAGCATGGTGAAGGGAGCTGGATAGCAGCATCTACACTCCAGGGTCCACAGAGAGCTGCTTGCCCTCATAGTGCTGAACTTTGTTCATCTTGGTCCTTCACTGCAAGGAAAAATGCATGCATTTATGGAAGGAGCTAGAAACAGCAAGGAAGCAGCTAGCCTGCAAACACGCATGCTGCCATAAGCTCCTGTGTCAGCGTTGGGTCCCGAGGGGGAGACGAGACCTTCCATTGCGAGTGGGAGACAGTCTAGGACAGGGGCAGGCAATTATTTTGAGGGCTGCATTTCCCTTTCCAGCACAGGGAAGCAGGAACAGCCCCATGGTCCCAGGCCAGAAGCCTTTGCTAGGCAGGGGTTTCTGGTTGGGGGGCAAGGGCTAGGCAGACCTTGCTGCTGGGTCCTGCCACTAGCTTCCTCTGGGTCCTACAGCCCCCGGCTCCTGTCATCTTTGACAGGTAGCTAGGAGCAAACAAAATATTAATTTTCTATTTTTTTAGGGGCCCTGCAGGCCGGACAGAATGGCCTGGTGGGCTGGATCTGGACCCCGGGCCATATTTTGCCCACCCCTGGTCTAAGAGATGCTCTTTCTACACATATCCTCCATAAGCTCTTGTGTCAGGGCTAGGTCCTGAAGGAGAGACGAGACCATCAGTTGCGAGTAGGAGAAAGAGCATGTCCAACCTAGACTTTCTCCTTCATGTGATCCTCACCGTAAAGCTCTTAAGGGCAGGGCCCCTCTCATACCACTCCCAGGTCAGTCTAGTCCAAATAATCAAAGTCCTTGCCTGACTCTAGGGGAAAAAAAAAATATTAGAGCTACTATATTCTGTCTTTTAATAGCACATCTGAAATATGGATGAACACAAAACACACCATTTCATTATTTTTCAATTCAAATTTTTTTCCCCTAGTGCACACCAGGGTAAACAAGCTGGCTGGCATCACCAAGTCTTGTGCACCATATTGCAAACAGCTTTGCTATGTCATCTTCTATAAACATTTGATATTTCAGTTCACATCCGAACTGCAGCTACACTTTTCATGGCAAAATAGACCACACACTCTTCCTGGCGGCAAATTATTTAAAATATGTTCAGAAAAGTATACAAATAGTCGGGCTGACATATGCTCCGAGGACATGTGGGGGAAACAATCACGGGAGAGTAAATACAGAAGCAGCAGTGAAATGTGAAGAGGGAGAGAAAAAAAAATGCAAAGGAAGTGCCTAGAAGAAAGTCTCATTTGCTCTGCTTTTAATCATCGTAGCTTGAAAACCAAACTAAATATAGAACTTCAGCCTAGCCTTGGAGGAGCTGATTAGATGAGAGCAAAAACTCAACACTTATTTAAATTTAGGGGAAATTTTACAAAAATACATGATGGTGTACAAACATAAATGCATCTCTAAAAAGAGATGGATGTAGAAACATAAATATTCCCGGTTGTGCCTAGGTAGCAGAGACATTTCCACGGACAGAAGCAGAACAAGAGCATTAACCTCTTGGTAACCAAGAGGATGAAGTAGAGACAGCATGGGATCATGCCAAGACTGGGACAGAGGCAACTCGGGGAATCAGACTCCAAAAGGAGAATGCAGGAGACCAACAACAGCCCAGATCTTGCACGCTCAGGAGGGTCTCCACTTTCAGAGCTGGTTTTTGCATCGAGTTCAGAAACCAAACAAAACCATGCATGGTGCACACACGTGCAGAACGAACACAGAAGCTAACAGAAGATGCACTTATGGATCCAAGTCTATCCATCTGTCTGGCTAAAAAATTGAGAGGGCGAGGGAACTGGGTTTATTTAGTCTGCAGAAGAGACCGAGAGGGGATTTGATAACAGCTTTCCTGTTTTTAGCACTGGTGGACACAGTTAAAAAATGTCTAATTCTAAAGGTCTTTCCATTCTTCAGCCTCAAAAATTTAAAAAAATAATAAGCGAGCATTGTGACATCTTCCTCCTTTTTTTCTACCCAAGCAACTCTGAACTAGGCCTCTGCCTGAATCTGAGACACCTACTGACTTAGAAAGCCATCAAGACAGGACATCCATGAACCCCTAACGGCAGATCCTGGCATGCACCAGTCAAAAGCTTATATCAGTATATTGGTTAATGAGCCAGAATCCACATACAGATGGAAAAAGGAGGAGGGGTGGGAGTGGAGACCAACCGACTTTTAGTGCAAACTAATCTACAGAGTGTCCATAATAGATCCAGGAATCAAGGTAACATGCCTCACCAGTTCCCTCTAAAGATATCAACTATAAATGCATGATCTACAGCTGCATTGTACAAATATTATTTTCAGCAGGACTTTCCTACACCCTCCTGACTTAGCTGGAGACAAGAGATGGTCTAGTTTTAAAATCACTGGACTGCGATTCACAAATAAAGTTTTGGCCTCTGGTACTGCCACAGCCTCTCTCTGCAACCTTGGGCAAGTCATTTCTTTTCATTTTCCCCCATTCCCCATCTGCACAATAACGATACTTCCTATGTGATTTTTGTCTGTTTTGCCCAATCAGTTTACAGGCTCACAGGGATGGGCTATGTCTTGCGCCGCGTATCTGTGCAGCACCTAACACCACGGGATAGTAATCTTAGCCAGGCCCTCTCTAGAGCTACTGGAACATGATTTGCAAAAAATAACCGATCACATAAATCAGAAAGCATTGATCACAACAGTGGGGACTGCCACGGGAGCAGCCACTCGGCCACCCCTCTTGCTACTTATCCTATTTAATTTGCCTGGGGCAACTCCAGCGGCTACAATCAAAGATGGCTGCAAACCAAAAACCTGCAAACCAGCACTGCAGAATCTGCAGCCATTCGCGTTCTGGAGCTGGCAGCTCAAACCCAATGCTAGTTAAAATGCACCTAGCCCTGCGTTTTTCCCCAGCGACAAAAGCAGCTTCGCTGGAAATCCTTGTTGCTCGCATAAAAGAGGCTTTAACGCGTATTTACCAACTGATTCATCAATATGAATGAGAGCTCTCAGAGGATGGCAGAGCCGAGAAAGGACTTTTCCCACAAGCTGCTCCTGGGAGCAGCAGTACAGCATTTTATGCAAAAAAC